CCCTTCTCCCCCTCTCCCTGCATTGCTCTTCTCCTCTCCTCTCCTCCTCTGCCCCTCCCCCTCATCTCTCTTCTTCCCTTTCCCAGTCCCAAGCCCAGCCCAGCTGGAGGGAAGATGGGAGACTTCCAGGGTGACCAGTGTGTCTGACAGAACAGTCCCCGAGTCCCCCCGCAAGCTTACCGAGGGGGACTGCCCCTCAGCTGGACTGCTCTCTTCCAGGGCTGGACTTGCTGCCCCTCTGCCTGACGTTCCTGCTCTGCTTCTGGGAGGTCCAGTATGGCATCCTGGCCGGGACCCTGGTGTCCGTGCTGATTCTCCTGCACTCCGTGGCCAGACCCAAGATGCAGGTACCAGCCTATCCACTGTCCCTGCAAGAGGGATCCGCTGGGCTTGGGGGGCCTGGTGGGGTGAGGTGCTGTACGCTTCATGCACCCTCTCGTCGGCTCCGTGCTCCCCTCACTTCTGTCGGTCTGGGTTGGGGCCTCCTGCCTGGGCAGGCCACCCTAGCCGAGCTGCCAGGTCAGATGTGCCTCCAGGACCTACAGGCTTGCCCCTCCTCTGTCCCGTCACCAGGTGTCAGAGGGGCCGGTGCTGGTCCTGCAGCCAGCCAGCGGTCTGCACTTCCCCGCGGTGGAGGCCCTCCGGGAGGCCGTACTCACCCAGGCCCTGGAAGGTACGTAGGCCAGGATGAGGTGGGCTGCAGTCACCCCCAGCTCCTGCCACTGTCTCCGCACCCCCGTCTGCTGCCTCAGGACCCCAGGGCCCTGTCCTCAGCTCTTGGGAGCTCACCCACTCCTGGGTCCAGGACGTTGGGTATCTCAGAGTGGTGTCTAGTGGGTGCTTGCTGTCCGCACGCAGCACGGGGGGCTGTTGCCAATCTGTGTTCCTAAATACCCATCCCTTTCTCCGGGGAGTTGGTATTTAGAGGAGAAAAGGGGGCCTGTTCGTCTTCTGAAGGAAACTGCTGCTCTGTGCAGCTGTCTGGGGTCCTGCCGCCCCTGGCTGCCCCCTCCCCACGGGGGGATGGAGCTCTGATGGCCTCACTGTGCCCCAGGCCTCTGGCCAGGGCTGCCTGCCGCCACCCATGCCCCGTGTGACCGGCTGGCCCCTGTCTCCGCAGCATCCCCCCCACGCTGCGCGGTTTTGGAGTGCACGCATGTCTGCAGCATCGACTACACCGTGGTGCTGGGGCTTGAGGAGCTCGTGGGGGACTTCCACAGGCACGGCGTCACCCTTGCCTTGGTCGGCCTGCAGGTGGGTGTCGTCAGCTGCCGGTGAGTCGGTGTTGTTATCCTCCCCGTGTCAGGATGAAGGCACCGAGGCTGGAGAAGCTGCGTGACCTGCCCAAGGTCACATGCGAGGATGCTGCCCGCCCGCCCCCCGGCTCCAGAGCTCACTCCTGTTACGTTGTTTGTTGTATTTGCAGAGAGCTCGTTTTTGGGTCTCTCGGAGAGTAATCATTTTAAAAAGTCTTCCTCTTCTAGCATAGTCGAGGGGCAGTTTCTTCTCTCCGTTTGCCTGAGCGGGGGTGAAGCTGTCCCTGCCGGGAGACTCTGGGGGAGGCCGTGACACGCAGTGACGCTGGGCCGGGGGCGCCTGCCCCAGCCCACCCGTGCCTGCACGCTGCAACGGGGGCACCCTGCCTGGAATTAGAGTTTCTCTGCCCCGCAGGTTCCTGTCCTCCGTGTGCTGCTGTCTGCTGACCTGAAGGGTGTCCAGTACTTCTGCACCCTGGAAGAGGCAGGTGGGTGCAGGCTGAGTCATGGAGAGACCCGCGGCAGCGCAGTACGCCCATAGCACGTGGGATGGGGGGACAGGACTGGAGGACTGAAACTCAGCACTGGGAGGGTCAGGGGTTCGGGTGCCCCAGTACAAGCGTGGGGAGCACGGGCGCGACACGGTGGGTGAGGCGGAGGGCACAGTCAGGGCCCTCCTGTTCTGGGAGTCACTTTAGGGGTGGTTTTACTCACGTGCGGCGTTTGCTCCGTGGATGCGCAGACCTCACGTGCGCAGCTCAGGGTCTCACAGGTGGGGATAGCCAGAGGCGATGTGGAATGTTTCCATCATTCCAGAAAGTGCCGTCAGTCCGTTCTCATGACCCCCACTAGGGGTAGCAGCTGTTTGGGTTCTTTCCCTCATGGGTCAGCTCTGCCTGTTCTAGAATGTCACGTATCTGGGATCAGAAGGACTCTGTGATTTCTTGGGCTTAACGGGGTGTCGTCGCTGGGAGCAGCTCACGTGCCGACCCACAGGAGATGGGGAAGAGACGTGGCCCAGTCATGCTGGAGGACCACGCGGCACTAAGGAAGGGTCATCGGGCGTGGACCATGATGAGGCACTGACAGGGACTTAGGCGGAACCTTGCCCGGGCTCTGGGTGCTGGCCAGGGGGACCCCAACTCCCTGTGCACCAGGACTCTGAAGCGCTGGCTCTTCATCCCATCCTGGGACGTGACCCTTCCTCACTTCTGCCTCTTTTGTGCTTGCACATCTCGTATTTTCTGCAGAGAAATACCTGAGGCAAGAACCAGGGACCGAGCCCTACAACGTCAGCGAAGACTCCGTTCCGGAGCACAAGATCGCCCTGCTGAAGGCCTGATGGGGGCGCTGATGGGCGTCTGATGCTGGGGAGTCTTACGGAAGGTTCTGGATGCTGTGATGCTAGGTGCTGCCCTATAAACGCCTTGGCCCGAGGGCTCTGAGCAGGTGACCCCCGAAGGAAGAAGGAAACCACGCATCGAGATCCACAGGTGGGACTCGTTGGCTTTATTTGGGGTGACTGAAAAATCACCTCCTTTCTGTTCCCTGGGCATGAACCTTTTTCTGAAGAATGGTTTGGAGAGAGCCTTCTAGAACGACAGACCCTGTGAGAAGAAAGGCAGGATTTCCACCTGGTCCAGGGGAAGGGCCCTCACACCCCAGCACCTTCCTGGTTACGGGGGGTGGTGGGGTTGGGCAGCTCCAAGGCGGGTTCCCGTCCGGTGGCGGCATCTGTGCTGCTGTTGGGAAGGAAACCCGAGATGCGCGAAATGACTTAATGTGTCCGTGAAAAATAATTTTGTCGTCGGTGTTTTTTAAATTAAAAAAGCAAGAGCTTTGGTGTTTTTGTAAAAACCATAAATGCTTATTGTAAAACGTACAGGAAATCCTCTTCTCCATCCACTTTGGTGGTAGTCCAGGCCCCCCCCACCCCGTCTGTGCGTCAGCATGCGGGTGTGTGTCCCCAGCCGCGTGTGGATGGGGTCATTGCATACATGGTGCTCTGTGACCCACACTTCCATGCAGTCCTTGCTGTGAATTACTCATTGTGATAATAAATAGAGAATACATGATCTGCAGTGTCTCCAACGTGCTTTATTCTGTGTCTGTGTCACAACGGACTCCCCGAGCCTCTACATGTGGACTTTTCTCGTCCAAGGTGTATACACCTTTCCACCCCTGCCGTCACAGCCAAGGAAGGGTGGGCTCCCAGGCCTTCTTCGAGAAAGAACTCACTGTGCAGGTGGGCCCCGTGGAGCTCCCCAGCATTCCCACCAAAACATGTTCTGGCCCCCCAACCAACCCCCACCCCTGAATCTGCATTTCCTTACCTCGAGCAGCTCTCTCTCTGCACAAACGAGCATGTCCTGGAGCCCTGTGTGCTGGGCCACCCCTCCCAGGGCCCCGTGGAGCATCCGTCCAGTGGTTCCTGGCCCCCAAGCCAAGCACACCCCTTCTGGAGCCAAGAGACTTTCCATTCAGAGCAGGCAGATCCGTTGGCTCTGGCGGACCTGGGCTCTAGGATCTTCACCCAGAACCGCACCTGACTCGGAATCCACTCCAACAAAGCCTGAGTGTGTCTGCCAGGAAGCAGATCCAAGGATGGTTAGCACAACGTCATTAGCAGTTTTAGAAAATGAAAGCAAGCTGAATGTCTCCATTTAGGAATGTCTTAGCCACAAAACACACACGCTGGGATGCCGTGTGGCAGTTAAAGGAACAGGGTGGAGCTGTGCATCTCTACACACTGGTGTCTGAGGAAAAAGAGCAAGTTGCAGAGCGATGCTCATCTTAAGAGATGTTCGTGTGAACACACCCACGGAACGATGTGGCGATGTCTGTACGAGTTTAAAAAAAGTCCTGGAAAGATACACATCAAACTGATAAAAGGAATTACGTTGACGTTATGCGGCTTGGGTTGATTTTAACCATCTATGAGTGGTTTAATTTCTCAACGATATATTCGTGTGTAGTTAAAAATTAAGTTATGGCTTAAAATTAATGTATATTAAGTTTATGTTAATATAATACCTAATTATACATTTAGGTTTAAAATTATAATTTATTAAATTATGAACTTACTAAATTTATAATTAAGTTATGATTAAATCTTCATTTCAAAAAAAGAGAAAAGATTGGAATGGACCACGGTGTGGAAAGACTTTGGAATTCGGTGCCCGAGGATGTGGGGCTGGGTCGTCAGCAGACGTGCCCCTCCGGGCCTTGGCCTGTGCCCCAGGGCCCGCAGGGTGGAGCTGACGGTACCGTTGGCTGGTGTAGTTGTCTACAGCTGGCTGGCAGGGTGACCGTGCCCCCAGCACCAGCGCAGTCCCCAGCCCCTCGGGAGCGTGGCCACGTCCCTGAGATGTGTGTTCACACCGTGTCCCCCCTGAGATTCATACCCTGACTTGTAGTACCTGACTCCCGGTACCTGAGAATATGCCTTTATTTGGAAACAGGGTCATGGGAGGTGTAATTAGTTAAGTGAGTCCATCCTGGAGTAGGATGGCTCATCCGTACGGCTCAGCCCTTAAAAAAAGAGGAGGTTTGGCCCAGACACCCAGGGAGAAGGCCACCTGAACAAGGCAGAAGTCAGGGTGATGCTTCTATAAGCCAAGAACAGCGAAGACTTGTCAGCAAGCCCCCAGCAGCTGGGAGAGAGGCCAGGAACAGATTTTGCCTCAGCCTCAGAAGGACCCCACCGTGCTGACCCGAGGATCCCGGCCTTCGGCCCCGCCTGGTCTGTGCTGCTTTGTTACAGCAGCCCGGGCAGACTAATAAGGTGTTCAGTGCTGGCTCCTGCAAGCGTATTCCACTTGTCAGTCGTCCGCCTGGCAGGCAGGACCTCACCGGTGCCTTGGGAAGCCACATGCCGAGAATGGCCGAGTTCGGGTCAGCGGGCGTGGAGGAGGGCACCTGCTGAGCAGCGGCCCATGGGCACTGCCACCTGTCACAGCAGCTCCCAGAGCCTCGACTATACGGTGAACAGTGACCCAGATCCGCGCCCTCGACGGAAGTACAACACACGCCGCACACTGAGCCACATGGGCAGCTTCCCATTTCCAGTTGCCTTGTAGGACAAGGAGCAGGTGAAATTAATATTTTACTGACCCCATTACACCCACGATACTACTTTCAGCCCGTGATCTATAGACAGCTCACCAGTGAGACAGCTGACCTTGTTTTGCTCATATGACATCTTGAAACCCGCTGTGGACCGTGCGCCCGCGGCGCGCTGCAGTTCAGACCAGCCATGCTTCGAGGGCTGCGTGCCACGTGTCCCGTGGCTGCCGTGTCCGCTTCCAAGATGGCTCAGAGGCCCCGACTGCCCCGAGCTCCTAGCTCATGCCCGTGCTTGTCTGTACTCTGTCCCAGGGGGTGGTTGTGAGAATCTCTGACGTGGTGATGATGGAGGAGGCAGCATGCTGTGGCTGGCTCGCAGAGAACTGTGTTGAGTCCAGGCTGTTCTGGTTTCTCACTGTGTGACGTTGGGTAAACTGTCTAATCTCCCTGACGCTTAATTTCCTCCAAAGAGCTGTTGCAGGGGTGGAGTTGAGGGGCAGGGTAAGGAGGGACCGGCGTGTATCAGGCACTGAGGAACCGCCGCTACTCGGAGCTGGACCTCCTGGCATCGTCCTACCTCTGGCGGCTTGATGCCGGACTCTGAGGACGGAGACATCGGGGAGGGTGGAGGTGAGGGTAGGAGGGAAGCTTTAGGCCTCAGGCTGCACGCCGTGCTCCTCCCCTGCCCCAGGGAAATGAACCAGGACAGGGTGAGGGGAATCCCGTGTGACTGCTCCATCTTGCCTGCAGTCTGAAGCCACCGTGGAGGGGCCCCCCAGTGTCACCAGCTCTTACAGTGGCAGCTGTAGGCTCGGTGGCCACGTCCCTGCAGGCCCCACACCCAGGGAAGCCTCCTCATGGGTCAGGGTGCTCTGCATGCTAATGTGGGGAGCAGTGGGTGTCCCCATGAGTGCCACAGTGGGGCGGGGACCTCCATCTTCAATAGAAAGTCGGCTGGAGCAGGGCTACCCTGCCTGGGCTGACTGGGAGCCAATAGCAAACCTTTTTCTGGCTGCAGTGTGATTACTTATAGAAATTCTGTTCTGCGTAGATCTACCTACCCTCTGTAAATTCAGCTACTGATGCTGGCCAAGAACCTGTCCCACCTCCCCGCTTCAGAATAGTTTTAATCCTGTGGAAGGACCCAAGTTTATCCAAACCACAGGAACCCTTTGCAGTGCCAGATGGCTGCATCTTTTAGAGCAGATTTGGCAGAGCCCACGGAGCTGGTGCCTGCAGTAGGTTGAATTCTGTCCCCTGAAAAGAGTTGAGTTCTTGACTCTAGAAGCCTGTGACTGACCTTATTTGGAAACAGGGTCTTTGAGGATGTCATCAGTTGTGTTCAGAGGAGGTCACACTGGATCAGGGTGGCCCTAAATCGGATGGCTGGGGGGACGGAGACACACAGGTAAGGAGAATGCCATGAAGTCACTTGGTTACTCTTCTCAGTTCTGTGGCCCCTGCCCCTGAAACACACAAGGAGCCACAGCACCTCCGTAAGGCTGCCCTTCTGTCTGTGCAGGCCTGCAGCCCACGTGGGGGCTCGGTCGGTGCCAATGGAGGTGTTGGACCCCACCGTTTCAACCTGAGGGACATCTGACTCTGGGACGGTTCTTGCTCCATGGGGTCAAGAGTACGACCCCTGGTCGAGAATATCCAGGCCCAGAACACTGACTCCCACCAGCCAAACTCAGCCCTGACCCATCTGTACCCCAAAGCCTGTTTCTTGACCGCCAAGCTTCTCTCAAATAGATTTGTGGTCTTCCCGTGGGAAAAACCGGAGCTGAAGAGAAGACCTGAAGGCAGGCAGGTGAGTAGATGCAACCAAAGCCGGGAGCTGCAGGCCCCTCTTGTTTTGCACGGTTTTTATTTATACAGCTCTGGGTTAAATGAGAGCATTTTGTTCAGCCCTCTGCCTGGTCATACAAAGCCCAGCTTTGAGATGGCTGGATGCACCAGTCCGGACCAGGGCCACAGAGCTGTGCTGTGGGCAGTGGCAGAACCACATGCCCTCAGGCCTAGATTCTCCTCATAAGGCCCCCTTGTTCTCAGCCTCCCCCCACGCCTTCCTGCACTTACACTCCCTGCAAAGTGTGCCCCTCTGCTGGCTGCACCCGAGCAGGGGCGCATCCTTCCTGCAGGCGACCCCAGGAGTCTCAGTTTATGCAGGCGAGGAGCAAGGCCGGCCAACAAGGTAAGTTTTGGGTCCCACTGAATCCATTCTATAAACACTGGCAGCTGCAAGATCAAGATCAAGGACATTTCAAATGCTCCAACATCCATGGAAACTGGAAGATGTTCTATGCCGAGTTTGACCAGGCAGACTACGTGGCTGAGTCAATGGGCTCCCCCAGCTACTGTTGTCAGGCAGCTGACCCTGGGAAGAATGCGCGGGTGGGCTCTCCGCCAGCAGATCTTCCCCAAGAGGGGGTCAGGTTCTTTGTGAACGCGCGGCCAAGGGGAGAGATTCAAGCCTGCAGGCTCCATGCCACCACACGTGTAGGGACAAGGCTGAGGTTGGCACCACCTGAAACCTTTCCTCACGCCCTCTTTCCTTCACCCCACGACCGAATCCTCCTCCCGTACCGACATCAGTCTTTGATCTTGGCTCAGCCCCACAAAGGAAACCACTTCCACTGTTGTCCTCGTATTTTGTTATTTTTCTCTTATTTCCTAATGGTATTAGATCAGATATTTTATTTTTTGTCATACCGTATATATATTATTTTTTTCGAATATTGCGTGCCTATTCCAACATATATGTTTATTGCATGTATCAAGACCAGAGAATGGGGCGCCTGGGTGGCTCAGTTGGTTGAGCGACTGCCTTCGGCTCAGGTCATGATCCTGGAGTCCTGGGATCGGGTCCCGCATCGGGCTCCCTGCTC